AAATGGGGGCAGGAGGGAAGAGGACGTTGGGGAATGATGATGTAAAAGAGAATAAGGGAGAAAAAATTAGCATTGAGAATTTTTACAAAGTAGAAGTGATGCAAGGAGGGGAAAGTTTGGAGAAAAAGAGAGAAATTAAAGAGTGGTGAAACAAAGTAAAAAAGACAAAAAGGTGGGAGATGTTTTCAACAAATTTTGTTAAAAAAAAGAAAAATTTTGGAGTGAGATTTAAAAAGTTTAAAAAAGCCTAGAGAACAAATGGGTTGTCATTAAAAATAGGAGAGGAGAGTTATTAAATGGAGGTTTGAGGTATTGGGAAATGGGAAAGGGAAAATTTTGAGGAATTGTTAAATGTTATGAAAATGGGAAAACGTATTTTGGTAAGGGCAAGGAGGAATAAATCTTTTAGGGGGTGAGAAGAGCCCGTTTGAGTGTGGGGGAAGTTGTGAGGGATGGTAAAAAGAAAGGGGGTAAGGCAGCCGGATTTAGGGGTAAAGATAGAAATGTTAAAAGCAGGGGGGAAAATGTTTTTTGGGGTGTTGGGGCAATATTAATAAATGTATGGAAGAGGGGAAGGTACCTAGGGATTGGCGAGAGCATGTAGTTTCCCTTTTTTAAAAGGCAAAGGGGATAAAAGAGAGTGCAAAATTTTAAGGGGGGTAAGTCTGTTAGTGTACCCGGTAAATGTATGGTTGAGTTATAATTTAAAGAATTTAAAAGTAAGACGGGGAAAAGGAAGCGATAAAAAGGAGGCTTTTGGAAAAGGTAGGGGGTGTGTGGACCAGGTGTTTACATGAAACATATAAGGAACAGTATTTTGATAAGGTAAAAAGGTCTTTGTGGCATTTATGGTTTGGGAAAAGGCGTATGAAGGGGGGATAGGGGGGCAATGTGGCAGTTTTTGGGAAGTGTATGGTTTAGGAGGTAGGTTTCTGAAAGCAGTGAAGAGTTTTTTTCGAGGATAGTGAGGCTCAAGTAGAGAGTAGGAAAGGAGGGAAATTTTTTTCCCAGTAAAAGTAGGCCTTAGACAAGAGTGTGATGTCACCCGTGGTTGTTTAATTATTTATAGATGGGGTTGTAAGAGAAGTAAATGCGAGGGTCTTGGCAAGAGGCGTGGAGTTAAAAGATAAAGAATCACACACAAAGTGGGAGTTGTCACAGCTGCTCTTTGCTGATGACACTGTGCTCTTGGGAGATTCTGAAGAGAAGTTGCAGAGATTGGTGGATGAATTTGGTAGGGTGCAAAAGAAGAAAATTAAAGGTGAATACAGGAAAGAGTAAGGTTATGAGGATAACAAAAAGATTAGGTGATGAAAGATTGAATATCAGATTGGAGGGAGAGAGTATGGAGGAGGTGAACGTATTCAATATTTGGGAGTGGACGTGTCAGCGGATGGGTCTATGAAAGATGAGGTGAATCATAGAATTGATGAGGGAAAAAGAGTGAGTGGTGCACTTAGGAGTCTGTGGAGACAAAGAACTTTGTCCTTGGAGGCAAAGAGGGGAATGTATGAGAGTATAGTTTTTACCAACGCTCTTATATGGGTGTGAAGCGTGGGTGATGAATGTTGCAGCGAGGAGAAGGCTGGAGGCAGTGGAGATGTCATGTCTGAGGGCAATGTGTGGTGTGAATATAATGCAGAGAATTCGTAGTTTGGAAGTTAGGAGGAGGTGCGGGATTACCAAAACTGTTGTCCAGAGGGCTGAGGAAGGGTTGTTGAGGTGGTTCGGACATGTAGAGAGAATGGAGCGAAACAGAATGACTTCAAGAGTGTATCAGTCTGTAGTGAAGGAAGGCGGGGTAGGGGTCGGCCTAGGAAGGGTTGGAGGGAGGGGGTAAAGGAGGTTTTGTGTGCGAGGGGCTTGGACTTCCAGCAGGCATGCGTGAGCGTGTTTGATAGGAGTGAATGGAGACAAATGGTTTTTAATACTTGACGTGCTGTTGGAGTGTGAGCAAAGTAACATTTATGAAGGGATTCAGGGAAACCGGCAGGCCGGACTTGAGTCCTGGAGATGGGAAGTACAGTGCCTGCACTCTGAAGGAGGGGTGTTAATGTTGCAGTTTAAAAACTGTAGTGTAAAGCACCCTTCTGGCAAGACAGTGATGGAGTGAATGATGGTGAAAGTTTTTCTTTTTCGGGCCACCCTGCCTTGGTGGGAGTCGGCCGGTGTGATAATAAAAAAAAAAAATGTTACCCTTGTGACTTAGTCCTAACCGACCTGCTCAGAATTTCTCAAATGCTCCCTTATTAGATTACAGTAGCCCCTTTTGGGTTTAGCGCTTGGTTTTCATTATAATAATAATTAGATTACAGATAGCCTTGGAATTTCTTTATTTTTTCACAGTGGTTGTTCTGCATATTGTAATATCACCTGTTTACTGTGATCTTATTGCATATGTTACCTGTATGATAATTTGTGTAACTATATTTGTGTACCTGTACCTAAATAAACCTACTTACTCCATGTACTGAACGCGAACTGTTGTAAAAAGTTTTTAAAATTATGGACGAGGCCTAAATAAGCACCTGCCTACTCTGTAGGCACTGTATGGGCCACTGTGCCCCTCAGAGAAGGTTTCTTGATGTTGGTGAGGGGCTCTTGATCTAAAGAATTGGACCAATGCTTCATTGCCTTTAATCAAATCTGAATGCCTTCCATTCTACGAGGCATTGTACGACCCCCTGTGGGTTTAGTGCTCCCAATGAATGTAATAATAATGGGCCCCTACGGGTTTAACAGCTGTAAGATCCGTCTGAGTTCAGCATTTAGTATTTATTATAATAATAATAATAATAATGTGGGTATAGCACTTCCCATTGAAAATCACTAAACCTGCTATTTTACTAGACAATGTTGAACAGATAGTAAAAAAAAAAAAAAAAAGCTGGACATTTTTTTTGGATTATCCTAGGTAATTTACACATGTTACTATGATAATCTGTGTAACTCTATTTACATGTACCTGTACCTGAATAAACTTGCTAACCACTTTGTATACTCGGCATACACAGGGGCTCGTGGCATGAACACCCAACTGTTATGTTCCTTTGTACAACCATGTATCATGTCAAAATAAAAATGATTATTATTATTATTAAGCATCAGTGATTCATATGCAGGCATCTATGCTTTAAATAAGATATTACAAGGACACCAGTGGAAATAAGTTTCTGGCCTTTTTTTAGGGTTATCCTAGGTAATTTACTCGCGTTACTATGCACATGCAAAAGTACCACTATGAAAAAATTAGTGAACTTCTAAGCGCTTTCGTGATTCCTCACATTATCAAGGAACTGTGCTATGATATGTATGATTGTAGTTATGTGTACCCGTACTAAATAAACTTATCTATGATCTTTCAAGGGGATGAATTGGTTTTTAGATTTGTTTCATATACAGGAGGGCCCCGCTTTACAGCGTTTGGCTAATGAAGCAGTTTTCAGTTACAGCCATTCTTCATTTATTCAGGCTACCTATAATAAATATATTCACTACTCACTATAAGCTATGAAAGAAAATATTTTAAATAATGCGTGTACTGAATAAGCATTTTTTTTAGGCTTAGCTCTATTCCTTACTAAATTTTTTTTTTTCAACAAACCGGCTGTATCCTCTTTTTAAATTTAGTAATTTATACAGAAGGGGTTACTAGCCCCTTGCTCCCGGCATTTTAGTCGCCTCTTACAACACACATGGCTTACGGAGGAAGACTTCTGTTCCATTTCCCCGTGGAGATAAGAGGAAATAAACAAGAACAAGAACTAGAAAGAAAATAGCAGAAAACCCAGAGGGGTGTGTGTATATATATGCTTGTATATGTATGTGTAGTGTGACCTAAGTGTAAGTAGAAGTAGCAAGACGTACCTGAAATCTTGCATGTTTATGAGACAGAAAAAAGACACCAGCAATCCTACCATCATGTAAAACAATTACAGGTTTCCGTTTTACACTCACTTGGCAGGATGGTAGTACCTCCCTGGGTGGCTGCTGTTTACCAACCTACTACCTATGTCCTTACTAAATATGATAGTATAAATATGTTATCACACATAGTGTAAATTACCTAGGACAACCCGAAAGAGTCAGTGACTTACTTCCATGTTGGTACCTCATGCATCATTGGTAGCAAACTTGGTTCACAACCAAAGGAAATAGGCTCATTCTTAGGTGAAGGCAAGATATAGGGTCTAGACTCCTACTGCTGCTATTCACCTAGCAGTAAATTGGTACTTGATTGCTTGCCAGCTTTTGTGGGTTGCATCCTGGGGAAGAGATCCAGATGATCCCGACAGAGATGCCACTGTGATTTGCTTTCTTGGATTATCCTGGGTTAATAATTGTCCATGGTTAATAACCTCATGGATCAAGTTTTAGCACCTTCAGCTTAAATCAGAAGAATCTGGGTTCACTCCTGGCACAGTTGGATTCCTTGATTTACCTATCAGTTAGTAGGTACAGTGGTACCTCAGGTTACGAAGTTAATTCGTTCCAGAAGGCTGTTCAAATGCCGATGCCAAACAAATATGTTCCCATAAGGAATAATGTAAATTAGAATAATCCGTTTCAGACCCCCAAACATATACTTACAAAAGCACTTACAAAAATACACTTACATAATTGTTTGAGTTGGGAGCTGTTCGTATGCCGAGGTACCGCTGTATCTGGGTGTTAGCCGACTGTTCCGAGTCATCCTGGGGAAAAAAAATCAGAGGAAATATTGTAAACCATTAGATTATTTTGTTACTAACTGTCCAGGTTAATAATCTGAATAGGTGTCCCTTGGCTCAGCTGGCAGTGCTCTCGCCTCGTGCACACTGAGTGTCTGTGGTTCAATCCCCGCCATGGGCATGTTTTCTTACATCTGCTGTCCCTGTTCACCTAGCATTAAGTAAACACTTTGGTGTTAGTCGCATGGTGTGGGTCGCATCCTCGCTCCTCTCAGATCAAGCATATTATGCCTTTACTACACCCTACCCTGCAGCGCTGTATAATAATTTTTTTAAGCTAATTTAATTTTTTTTTTCAGTACACGATGTCTGCTCCAGTACTTAATTACCGGACACGAGGATGGCTCCGCATGTCAGTTGAAAAGCAAGACACATTGCTCAAAATGGCTGTTCTATCTCTTGCAGCAATTCTGTGTAAGGATCTGTTTAGTTATTTTGCGGGTTATGAATCATACTATTTTGTAGAAGTTTGTCATTCGTGTTTGTGATTTCACTAATGTAAGGTTTCAGTATACAGTATCTTTAACATTAATTATCTGCTACTTCATCTGTATACTGACCGAATTTGTTCCCATAAGAAAAATTGTGAAGTAGATTAGTCCATTTCAGACCCCCAAACATACACGTACAAACTCAGCTCACATAAATACACTTACATAATTGGTCGCATTCGGAGGTAATCGTTATGCGGGGGTCCACTGTACTTGAGTAACACTAGTTATGCTGAATATATCATTAATTTATTATTGTGGCCTGGTTGATAATGGAGGATGAAATGAGAAGAATGTCCAATTTTAAATTGTTTCATTCAGGCAAAGTTTAATGCTGTACACAATTACTTTTTTATAATTCATTACATTTTGAAGTTAGATTTATTTGTTTAAAAACCTCCATGATTTGAAAAGGACTAGTCACAAGTGATCCACATATTAGAGATGGGCTATTATCAAAGCACATTGCGGCAAACCCTCATTTTAATAGACTAATATGGGGAAACGTGTGGCCAGACATGGCAGTTGTGATGGCTAGAAATGAGTTTTGCCATGATCATAATAGTAATAGTTTTATAGCAAATGGATTTTGACCATTTACTTGACCTGGTGGGTCTTGCCCAGTATTTCTGATGGCCATTAAATTATAGTCTGTTAGATAGAGGGTTTACTTGTTCACAGAAGTTGGTATAAGAACAGACACCAATAAACAAGGGAGGGAGGGTAGAGATTGGAAATTGAGTAAGGGGAAGAGGAGTATTGGGTTGGGAAGGTTACCATAATACATTAATATTTCTTTCATTTCTTCCCAGCATTTTCGTGCAGGCTTTTTTCGGTTCTTCGGTTTGAATCGGTTATCCACGAGTTTGATCCCTACTTCAATTACCGCACCACCAAATTTTTAGCTGAGGAAGGCTTCTACAACTTTCACAACTGGTTTGATGATCGAGCCTGGTACCCACTTGGAAGGATCATTGGAGGTAAGATTTTCAGCCTTAGTCATGGTGTTTTGTTGCATATTCAACCAGGGCTCGATTAGTGTGAGTTCAAATAGTGCAAATTTCAGTTTAGTGTGAAATTAATTAATGCTATTTTTTCCCCATAAACTCTTCAAATCGTATGCAATACATAATTACATATAATTCGATTAGTGCAAATTCGAATAATGTGACCACTCCAAGGGATTCATTATTTACACTAATTGAGATCTAGCAGTGTAATTTGAGAGATGCCTGTAGCAAGGTGCTTAAGAGTTCAAAAAGTTCCTACATTTGATCTTGTTACATATATGCTTATACGTACTGTAAAGCGAAAATCTCTGTAAAGTGAACCTTTCAAATGCATATAAAGGCCTGATAACATGTTTATACTATCATTAGAGCAATAGAGCTAGGCCTAAAAAATGCATATACAGTACACACATTACTTACCTTAGAAGTTTTTTGTCCTTAGCTTATAGTGAGTGATAAATTTATTTATTGTAGGAAGTCTGAATAAATGAAGAATGGGTATATCTGAAAATCAGTGCATTAGTGAAACTGTAAAGCAAAGCCTGCTTGTATTATGTATTAAATTGCATTCTGGATAATTTTTTTTTTTATTCCTCAGGCACAATCTATCCAGGATTAATGGTGACCTCTGCAGCCATCTACCACATCTTGAATTTGGTTAACATAACCATAGATGTGCGTAATGTTTGTGTCTTTCTGGCCCCACTGTTCTCCTCTCTCACAACCCTAGTTACATATCATCTAGCCAAGGAACTGAAGGTATGCTGTTTTAATTTCTTTCAACCTTCATTTTGTATTTTAAGTTGTATTTTTTAGAGATCCTTTGATTTTTGCTTATTTGGAAGTGTCTGATAGTATGAACACTGTATTAGTGTGTTTGGTAGAGGCATGGTTCCAAACAAGCAAATTTTAGCGTCAGCTTGAGCGTTTACTGTTTGTAGATGACACACTACTGTTGAGGGTTTTGAAAGATAAGCTTTACAGGCTAAAATAAAAAGGGGTTTGAGAAGGAATGTAAAAAGGAATACAGGAAAAAGGAAGGTGATAATACACACATAACCAGTACATAGAAGAATGAAATTCATGATGACATTTCAGTCTGACTTGGACCATTAACTAGTCATGCATAGTCAAAGTATGACCGAAGCGTCATCGTAAGTTTCATTTGTCTGTGTGCGGGTTATTTGTGTATTGTTTCGCTTGCAGTATTATAGAGTACATGACAGTATAGTGAATGTAAGAATAGAGGTTATTTTGGAAGAGTATGGCAGAAGTGAATGTATTTAGATACCTGGGACTGCATGCATCCAGAGAGCTGGTAAATTACTAACTAAATAGGGATAAGGTAGATTACCAAATAAAGGAGAGAGAGTTTTAATAGTTGATGAATGTGGCGAAAAGTTTATTAGGAATTTCAATAAAGAGTGAGGTGGGAAGTACAGTGTATTCACTTCTAAGGGTGGATGCTGTTACAGTTTCTTGAGATGTCATTGGACTGCCATGCTGTGCCTTTCTGAAATGGTACATATGTAGTTAGTAAACAAAAATGTGATTTTTTAACAAACTGGCCATCTCCCACTTAGGATGTTATTCTTTTTTTTTAACACATCGGTCGTTTCCCACTGAGGTAGAGTGAACTGAAAAAGAAGAAACATTAATCATCACTCATTCCATCACTGTCTTGCTAGAGGCATGCCTACACTGCAGTTCAAAAACTGCAACATATCTCCACCCCTCCTTCAGAACGCAGGCACTGTACTTCCCACCTTAGGGCTCGAGTCCGGGTAACTGGTTTCCCAGAATTCCTTCATAAATGTTACTTTACAAACATACCAACAGCACATCGTCATAAAAACCTTTTGCCTCCTCTCGTTCCTATCTAACATGCTGATTCATGCATGCTTTCTGGAAGTCTAAGCCTCTGGCACACACAACCTAGGATGTTATATGTTTTCTTAATTGGTTTATCCTGCTATAGGGAAAATGGCTGATATTAATAAGTAAAAAAATGTTTTATATAATTTTTTTCTAACAAGTTGGCCATTTCCCACCTAGGCAGTGTGGCCAAAAAAGAAAGAAAAACACAAAAAGAAACAAAAACTTTTATCATTCAACACTTTCACCATCACTTATACATAATCACTGTCTTTGCAGAGGCACCCAGATACGAGAGTTTAGATAGTCGCTCCAAACTGCCAATATCCCAAACCCCTCTTTTAAAGTGCAGGCATTGTACTTCTCATTTCCAGGACACTAATCCGGCTAACCGGTTTCCCTGAATCCCTTCACAAAATATTACCCTGCTCAAACTCCAACAGCTCGTCAGGTCCCAAATCATACGTCTCCATTCACTCTTATCTAACACGCTCATGCACGCTTGCTGGAAGTCCAAGCCCCTTGACCACAAAACCTTCTTTATACCCCTCCCTCCAACCTTTTTGAGGGTGACCCCTATCAAGCCTTCCTTCCCCTACAGATTTATACGCTCTCCAAGTCATTCTACTTTGTTTCATTCTCTCTAAATGGCCAAACCACCTCAACAACCCCTCCTCCGCCCTCTGACTAATACATGTACTTTTAAGAACTCCACACCTCCTGATTTCCACACTACGAATTCTCTGCATAATATTTACACCATTTAGGACATCTTCATTGCCTCCATCTGTTTCCTCGCTGCAGCATTTATAACCCAAGCTTTACACCCATATAAGAGTGTTGGTACCACTATAATACATTCCCTTCTTTGCTTCCATGGATAATTTTTTTTTTTTTGTCACCACAGATACCTCAATGCACCACTCGCCTTTTTTTTCTTCATCAATTCTATGGTTAACCTCATCCTTCATAAACCCATCAGCTGACAAGTCAACTCCCAAAAATCTGAAAACATTCACTTCTTCCATACTCCCTCTCCAATGTGATATCCAGTTTTTCTTTATCTAAATCGTTTGATACCCTCATCACCTTACTCTTTTCTATGTTCACTTTCAACTTTCTACTCTTACACACACTCCCAAACTCATCTGCTAACCTTTGCAACTTTTCTTTAGAATCTCCCAAAAGTACAGTATCATCAGCAGAAAGTAACTGTGTCATCTCCCATTTTGTATTTGATTCCCCATAATTTAATCCCACCCGTCTCCCCAACACTAACTAGCATTTACTTCTTTTACATCCCCATCTATAAATATATTAAACAACCATCGTGACATTAAACATCCCTGTCTAAGACCTACTTCTCTGGGAAGTACTCCCTCTCTCCTACACACCCTAACCTGAGCCTCCCTGTCCTCATAAAAACTCTTTACAGCATTTGGTAACTTACTACCTATTCCATACACTTGCAACATCTGCCACATTGCTCCCTTTTCCACTCTGTCATATGCCTTTTCTAAATCCATAAATGCAGTGAAAACTTACATACCTTTATCTAAATACTGTTCACATATATTCTTCAGTGTAAACACTTGATCTACACATCCCCTCATCTACATATCTACACATCCACTCTAAAGCCTCCTTGCTCATCTGCAATCCTGCTCTCTGTCTTACTTTTATTTCTTTCAATAATAACCATACCATACACTTTACCTGGTATACTCAATCAGTAAACTTATTCCCCTATAATTTTTACAATCTCTCTTGTCCCCCTTCCCTTTATATAAAGGAACTCTACACACACTCTGCCAATCCCTAGGTACCAACCACTCAACACTATATCCCCCCTGCTTTTAACATTTCTGTCATGATCCTGTCAGTTCCAACTGCATTACCCCCTTTCATTCTATGTAATGCCTCATGCACCTCGCCCACACTCACATTCTGCTCTTCTTCACTCTTAAAAGATGTTATACCTCCCTGGCCAGTGCATGAAATTACCACCTTCCTTACTTCATCGACATTTAAAACTCCTCAAAATATACCCGCCGTGCGTGCGTGAGCGTGTTAGATAGGAGTGAATGGAGACGAATGGTACTTGGGACCTGACGATCTGTTGGAGTGTGAGCAGGGTAATATTTAGTGAAGGGATTCAGGAAAACCGGTTATTTTCATATAGTCGGACTTGAGTCCTGGAAATGGGAAGTACAGTGCCTGCACTTTGAAGGAGGGGTTTGGGATATTGGCAGTTTGGAGGGATATGTTGTGTATCTTTATATGTGTATGCTTCTAAACTGTTGTATTCTGAGCACCTCTGCAAAAACAGTGATAATGTGTGAGTGTGGTGAAAGTGTTGAATGATGATGAAAGTATTTTCTTTTTGGGGATTTTCTTTCTTTTTTGGGTCACCCTGCCTCGGTGGGAGACGGCCGACTTGTTGGAAAAAAAAAAAAAAAATCTACCCAATACAGTGGACCCCCGGTTTACGATATTATTTCATTCCAGAAGCATGTTCAGGTGCCAGTACTGACCGAATTTGTTCCCATAAGGAATATTGTGAATTAGATTAGTCCATTTCAGACCCCCAAACATACACATACAAACGCACTTACATAAATACACTTACATAATTGGTTGCATTGGGAGCTGATCGTAAACCAGAGGTCCACTGTACCTCCATCTCCCCATCTACTAACTCCCCTATTCTGTTTTTAACTGACAAATCCATTTGTTCCATAGGTTTTCTTAACCTGTTTATCTCACTACAAATTTTTTTCTTATTCTCAGCAAAATTTCTTGACAGTGCCTCTCCCACTCTATCATTTGCTCTCCTCTCGCACTCTCTCCTTTTGTGTGAATGCACACACACTACTTACATTAAAATATTTACATTCTTAGTTTATAGTGAGTCGTGAATATATTTGTTGTAGGAAGTCCGAATAAATGAAGAGTGGGTATATGTAATTGAAAACTGCTGTGTTAGTGTAATACTGTAAAGTGAAACACTGTAATGCAGGATCCTCCTGTATATATAGTCTTCAGCATTAAAAGTAAGTAAAAAAAACAGATGAACAAAGATGTATTAGCATCAGTAAATTGTAAAATGTAAACATTGCTGGCACTTTAACCCCACTGTTGCCAGTTAGTGATCATTTTTTCATCAACTTTAACATGCTATAAAATTGTAAGTTTTTATCACATTCTGCTCATTTTAGCCTTATCGATTCAGAAAAATGAACTCTCGAGCTGTAAGATTTTTTTTTTTTTTTTTCAAAATCTTTTCTCCCCCCCCCCCCCCACACACACACACAAGAATTTTTTTTATCCAAGGTCTTCCACAGTTAAGGGTTAAAAAAAAAATTATATAAAGTTCTCCTTGTATAAGTGGAGAAGAATCTTTCCTTCGTAAACCATGCACATCGTAAAAAAGTGACTACAGTGCCAGGAGCACTGTATAAATTACTATCTTAAAAAGAAAAACTCGTTTTTCTTTTTTGGTCACCCTGCCTCGGTGGGATACGACAGTTTTTTTTTTTTAAGTATTTTTTTTTTCAACAAGTCGGCCGTCTCCCACCGAGGCATATAATAATATAAATACTGTATGTACATGCATGTATACTTTTTCAGGGTCCAGGTGCAGGGTTAGTAGCAGCTGTTATGATTGCCATTGTCCCAGGATATATTTCCAGATCTGTAGCGGGTTCCTATGATAATGAAGGTAAGAGCTTTTTATTTAGACTTCCATTATTATTTTTGGAAAACAAATTGTTAGTATTTGTCTTTGAGTTGTACTTGAATCATTTGCAAAACAGTAATAAAAATGCTGATGAAAATTGATAATAGAAAAGCTTTTGAAAATGGTCAACCAGAGACTTGTTTGTATTGTATTTCCCTTCATTAATTGGGAGGATATGTTATATGTATATCTTTATATGTATATGCTTCTAAACTGTAGTATTCTGGACACCTCTGCAAAAACAGTGGTTATGTATGAATGAGGTGAAGGTGTTGAATGATGATGAAAGTATTTTCTTTTTGGGGATTTTCTTTCTTTTTGGGTGACCCTGCCTCGTTGGGAGATGGTCGACCTGTTAAAAAAAGAGTGCATACCAGACTTCTGATAATAAAAGAATGGAGATCCTGTAAAGGCTTAACCCCTTCAGATATTTGGACTATGGGCCATTACCTGGGAATTGGTTGCTTATTAAGTTTACGTTTGCCATTGAAACATTTATGTAGCACGTATACTTCACTTGTATAATAGTAGATTTTGTTGTGCTGGTAGAGGGCTTTTGATCCAAGAAATTAGGTGTCACTCTCCCTCTTGTATCACATTTTATTATCTTTCAGTCCCTAGGCAGTATATAACCCCTACAGGTTTACTACTTCCTGTGAATATATACAGCCCCTCCTCACTTAGTAACGTGCTTGTTTACCGATTCCTCAGACTTATGACGGGCTCTCTGACCAGTATGCATATCTAAATAATGTATATTAGAGCTGATTTCTTCTATTTTGTTTATTGCAATATGCAGGACACTACTGTATAAACATTTAAAAATACAGTGGACCCCCGGTTAACGAATTTTTTTCATTCCAGTAGTATGTTCAGGTGCCAGTACTGACCGAATTTTTTCCCATAAGGAATATTGTGAAGTAGATTAGTCAATTTCAGACCCCCAAACATACACGTACAAACGCACTTACATAAATACACTTACATAATTGGTCGCATTTGGAGGTGATCGTTATGCGGGGGTCCACTGTATATCAGAAATGTTATAAATAGTGCAAAGGTGACATTAAAGCAATATCAAAGATGGTTGAGACAAACCCATTACCATTATAGTATACTCCTCACTTAGCGACGAATTCATTTACCGACGTGGTCTAAGGAACAGAACTTCGTCGTTAAGTGAAGAGAGGCTGTATTTAACAAAGCTTAAGAAACTATTACAGATGTTTAGATTGGTCTTTTCAAACACATTATTTAGCATAGTATTGCCAACTTGTGCACCCTTGTCAATGAAATTCAAAGAATATCCTACAACTTTATACATTTTGTAAATATTCTCTTAAGTATTTAGATACAGCTCTATTGCCTTCAGCATTATGTTGTATATGGCATCTAATTTCAGCATTAGCCCTTTCACTGTCCCTTATCTGAAACTTGTCCACACTGGCCAAGAATTTTCAAAAAGTTTTTTGTTATTTTTTCTTATGAAATGGTAGGGAATCTCTTTCTGAAGGAAGTAAGACAAAAAGTACAAAATTTGATAGAAAATTGATGAGATTACGCTTTCGCAAATTTTGCTGTGTCAGTGATACTTATGCATTGGTGATTTTGCCCATTTTGAACACTATTTTAGGCCAGTTATGTTGTTCCAGTCGACCAAATTCTTAACTATTTCGCTAGTATGTCTTCCCTTTTATAGATTGAGCACAAGAAATCTCCCATTCAACTACCCAATAAAGTAATCAGAAATTGGTAAGTTGGCCAATTTCACACAGATTTCAAAGTATTCCATTTTCAGAATAAGGTCTAGAATAAAAAATTGAGGCATTCCTGGCACTAAAATAACATTTCCTCTGTTCATTGGTTACATTCCCAGGCTTTACACATGAATTCCATTTTGATTTTATATTCAGCTTTTCTTTCTTTCAATGTACCAGCCGTATCCCACCGAGGTGGGGTGGCCCAAAAGGAAAAATGAAAGTTTCTCCTTTCAAATTTAGTAATATATACAGGAGAAGAGGTTACTAACCCCTTGCTCCTGGCATTTCAGTCGCCTCTTACGACACGCATGGCTTACGGAGGAAGAATTCTGTTCCACTTTCCCATGGAGATAAGAGGAAACAAACAAGAACAAGAACTAGAAAGAAAATAGCAGAAAACCCAGAGGGGTGTGTGTATATATATGCTTGTACACCTACCATCTGACTTACGACCGAGTTCGGTTCCGTGAAACCGGTCGCAAGTCGAAATGGTCATAAGTCGAACTTTACTACTGAAAATCAACAAAACGCTTTTGTAATGATTTTATTTTATTGTTTTATTTTGGTATTTCATGTTTTACTTTACTTTTTATGCTGTTAGTACTGTATTTTATACTGTAAGGTTTAGGATAAACACTGTGTACAACACAAATTTATTATTTATTATCACACTGGCCGATTCCCACCAAGGCAGGGTGGCCCAAAAAAGAAAAACTTTCACCATCATTCACTCCATCACTGTCTTGCCAGAAGGGTGCTTTACACTACAGTTTTTAAAATGCAACATTTACACCCCTCCTTCAGAGTGCAGGCACTGTACTTCCCATCTCCAGGACTCAAGTCCGGCCTTCCGGTTTCCCTGAACGCCTTCATAAATGTTACTTTGCTCACACTCCAACAGCACGTCAAGTATTAAAAATCATTTGTCTCCATTCACTCCTATCAAACACGCTCACGCATGCCTGCTGGAAGTCCAAGCCCTTCGCACACAAAACCTCCTTTACCCCCTCCCTCCAACCTTTCCTAGGCCGACCCCTACCCCGCCTTCCTTCCACTACAGACTGATACAGTCTTGAAGTCACTGTTTCGCTCCATTCTCTCTACATGTCCGAACCACCTCAACAACCCTTCCTCAGCCCTCTCAGCAACAGTTTTGGTAATCCCGCACCTCCTCCTAACTTCCAAACTACGAATTCTCTGCATTATATTCACACCACACATTGCCCTCAGACATGACATCTCCACTGCCTCCAGCCTTCTCCTCGCTGCAACATTCATCACCCATGCTTCACACCCATATAAGAGTGTTGGTAAAACTATACTCTCATAAATTCCCCTCTTTGCCTCCAAGGACAAAGTTCTTTGTCTCCACAGACTCCTAAGTGCACCACTCACCCTTTTCCCCTCATCAATTCTATGATTCACCTCATCTTTCATAGACCCATCTGCTGACATGTCCACTCCCAAATATCTGAATACATTCACCTCCTCCATACTCTCTCCCTCCAATCTGATATCCCATCTTTCATCACCTAATCTTTTTATCCTCATAACCTTACTCTTTCCTGTATTCACTTTTAATTTTCTTCTTTTGCACACCCTACCAAATTCATCCACCTAATCTTTTTGTTATCCTCATAACCTTACTCTTTCCTGTATTCACTTTTAATTTTCTTCTTTTACACACCCTACCAAATTCATCCACCAATCTCTGCAATGTCTCTTCAGAATCTCCCAAGAGCACAGTGTCATCAGCAAAGAGCAACTGTGACAACTCCCACTTTATGTGTGATTCTTTATCTTTTAACTCCACACCTCTTGCCAAGACCCTCGCATTTACTTCTCTTACAACCCCATCTATAAATATATTAAACAACCACGGTGACATCACACATCCTTGTCTAAGGCCTACTTTTACTGGGAAATAATTTCCCTCTTTCCTACATACTCTAACTTGAGCCTCACTATCCTCGTAAAAACTCTTCACTGCTTTCAGTAACCTACCTCCTACACCATACACCTGCAACATCTGCCACATTGTCCCCCTACCCACCCTGTCATACGCCTTTTCCAAATCCATAAATGCCACAAAGACCTCTTTAGCCTTATCTAAATACTGTTCACTTATATGTTTCACTGTAAACACCTGGTCCACACACCCTCTACCTTTCCTAAAGCCTCCTTGTTCATCTGCTATCCTATTCTCCGTCTTACTCTTAATTCTTTCAATAATAACTCTACCATACACTTTACCAGGTATACTCAACAGACTTATCCCCCTATAATTTTTGCACTCTCTTTTGTCCCCTTTGCCTTTATACAAAGGAACTATGCATGCTCTCTGCCAATCCCTAGGTACCTTACCCTCTTCCATACATTTATTAAATAATTGCACCAACCACTCCAAAATTATATCCCCACCTGCTTTTAACATTTCTATCTTTATCCCATCAATCCCGGCTGCCTTACCCACTTTCATTTTACCTACTGCCTCACGAACTTCCCTCACACTCACAACTGGCTCTTCCTCACTCCTACAAGATGTTATTCCTCCTTGCCCTATACACAAAATCACAGCTTCCCTATCTTCATCACAAATAGTTGTTTATTTCCCAGAAATTTGGCATAAAAAACACGGTCGTAAGTCGAGTGGTCGTAAGTCGAGCAGGTCATAAGTCGGATGGTAGGTGTACATGTATGTGTAGTGTGACCTAAGTGTAAGTAGAAGTAGCAAGACATACCTGAAATCTTGCATGTTTATGAGACAGACAAAAGACACCAGCAATCCTACCATCATATGAAACAATTACAGGCTTTAGTTTTACCACTTGGCAGGACAGTAGTACCTCCCTGGGCGGTTGCTGTCTACCAACCTACTACCTAGAATATTCAACTTTTATTCACACAAAAAACTAGATTTACTCTGGTGCAGTATTGTAATAATTGTATAAATAATATCAGTGCATTTGTGTATGCATATATCGGACGTGTGATGTGATTTGTTTACTGTTGAATATCGGCAATTTGAGCTCAATTTTAAACTATTTTCAGTCCTGAAAGCAATCAAAATCATCTCTATTTCTGTAATATATCTTCCATTTTATCAAACAACACCAAGAAATCGAGAACATAACCATTAAAACTATACGAAAATACACTGCAAAGTCACTGTTTTAACCATTTTAGGGCCCATGCCATAGTTTTACGGCTTTGAAGCCAGTG